ATCGAGCCTGTCAATACCAGGGATTTCTCTGGAATTCTCTTGACGGAGGAAGCCAACGAGTCAAACGCTCCAGAGTCAACCAGTCTCCCCCGAACACTCCAGCCGACAGTCAGCGTGAATCAAGCTTCAGCAGTCAACAGGCACGAATGGTGAGCCTGGTCTTGACGAAGGAGTGTCGCGTTACCACTTTTGTCGTGAGCTCGAGCATTTTTTGCCGAACCTTTGGCGTCAGCGAAAGAAAATCGTCTCGCAAGAGCTCGCGGTAATCGCTGATCGCCCAGAAATCTGAGGGTGTGGATGTTCCTGTGGTCTCCTCGTGCGCTTCGGTCTTCAGCACACATAAATTGTGGTGGCACAATACTCAGCTCATCGGTCAAAATTGTTGGGAGATCCTTCTACCTTGTATCCCATCCTGTCCTGCATCAAGGTACCAGGGTTTGTTTGAACAGCTATTGCTACAGCAGCACACGTGACGAGCCTGTGAATGAGTCGCAGGAGATCATTTTCCGCTTCTCTCAACCGCCTGATGCATCGGCGCATGATGGCGGGTTTGCCTGGCTCGCGCCGCAAGGGCACCAATGCCCTACTCACGCTTCTCCTGCTGCTAGGCGCTGCGCTGCTCTGCTTCCCAAGCGCGACAAACGGCGCGAGGCACGCGGCGCTTAGGTCACAGGGAGTGGTATCGAATAGCCGGACCATAGCGCACATATGGACATCAGGGAGCACGTTCCTTCGTGGCAATATCAACGCCGGCAAAAGGAGTAGCAGCACTGCAGTTGCTGCTACAACCACCGGCGCTACAACCGCCGCTGCTGGCTCCGCGGCTGCTACAACCGCCGCGACGGGCTCGGGTTGCGCGGCGTCGGCGCTGGAGGGGTTCGCGTGGTCGGCGGCGCTGGGGTCCACTGGACTCACGCTGCATTGGCGCGCAGTGGACTCGTCGCGCCTCGCCTTGGCGCTGGAAGCGGCGGGTGGCAGCGCGGCGGCGGCGGGGTGGTTCGCCGTGGGGTGGTCGGCGACGGGCCGCATGGCGGCGTCCGACGCCGTGGTGGGCAATCTGGCAGGCGGCGCCGTCCAGGCGGTGTACATGAGCGGCACGGCGCAGAGCGACGTTCAGCCCACAAGCAGCTTCGATATTGGCAACGCGCAGCTCGCCACGTCACCCTCGGGATCCACCGTTCTCAAGTACGCAACGATGGTTTTCTGAGAAATCTATATTTGCGGATTTGGAAGGAGGACTCATGGTTTAGGGTTCAGGGTGAGTGTCAGCCTTTTTTAGGGTTTGGGCTCCGGTTTGACTCTCCCACCCACACACTCATTCTCTGCTGCCATCTCTCTCCCCCCCCTTCCTCCCTTCTCTCTCGTTGCAGGTTCAACCGCTCTGCAGGTGACGGCTCAGTGCCGGTGAGCGTGCAGGGCAGCAACACGCTCGTGTGGGCGCACTCCCCCGATGGCTCGCAGTCGCTCGGCTTCCACGCCGGATATGAGTGAGTGCATCTCTGACAAGGATGAGGGAGTGAGTGAGTGAGTGCAGCAGTTAAATGCAGGGCATGAGTGAACTTGTGAAGGGCAAGGGTGAGTGGCTGCAGACCCTTGGCAGTACATTTCATCTCGGATTTCCTTCCAAGTTTACCCGCTGATGATTCTTTTCATACTCCTGCTTTTCCGTTTCTCCACACTCATCCACTTCCTTTCCCACTTTGTTCCTATCACCCTTTCTCTCTCTCACTCTCACTCTCTCTCCCCTTCTCCCCCTCGCCCCTCCTCCCAGTGGCGCGCTGCAAGTGGACTTCGCATGCTCCTCTGCCTCGTCCGGAGGGGGAGGGGGTGGCGGAACTGGTGGGGGTGCGGGGGGGGGCACTGGCGGAGGCACGGGGGGTGATTATGGGGGTGACTACAACGGGGGGAACAACGGGGGTGGTGATTACAGTGGTGGTAACGGCGGCGGTGATTATAACGGGGGGAACGGAGGAGACTATGGGGGTGGCAGTGGCGGTGGGGGCAATGGCGGCGGAGGTAACAGAGGTGGAGGCGCAGGAGGCGGAGGAAGGGGAGGCGGTGGGGGGGACTGCAGGAGAGGGCCTGGAGGCGGACAGGGGGGAGCTGGGGGCGGAATGGGGGGACCTGGGGGCGGGCAGGGCGGACCTGGAGGTGGACAGGGGGGTCTTGGCGGTGGGCAGGGTGGACCTGGTGGGGAACAGGGAGGACAAGGGGGTGGTAATGGTGGGGGGAGCAATGGCGGGGACTATGGTGTTGGTAATGGCGGTGGTGACTACAGCAATGGCGGGGGCTATAGCGGCGGTAATGGCGGGGGCGGGGGCAACACAGGCGGAGGTGCTGCTTACTACAGCAGTGGCTCGGGAGGAGGAGGGTCAGGTACTGCTGGTGGTGCTGGTGGGGGCTGTGGGGGAGGGCAAGGGCAAGGCGGGGGACAGGAAGGCCCTGGGGCCGGGCAAGGGGGGCCTGGGGGACAGGGGGGACCTGGGAGCGGGCAAGGGGGAGCTGGAGGCGGGCAGGGCGGTCAAGGGGGTAATTATGGTGGGGGCAACAATGGCGGGGACTATGGTGGTGGTAATGGCGGTGGTGACTACAGCGGGGGGAATGGAGGGGACTACAGCACTGGTGGTGACTACAGCGGGGGGAACACTGGAGGGGGCTATGGTGGCGGCAATGGTGGTGACTATAACGGAGGGAGCTACACTGGGGACTACAGTGGGGATTACAGCGGGGGGATGGGCGGCAGTCAGGGCGGCAGTCAGGGAGGCCCATCTGGGGGCGGTATGAGTGGAGGTGGAGGCATGGGCGGCGGAGGCATGGGCGGCGGAGGCATGGGCGGCGGAGGCATGGGCGGCGGAGGCATGGGCGGCGGAGGCATGGGCGGCGGAGGCATGGGCGGCGGAGGCATGGACGGCGGAGGCATGGGCGGCGGAGGCATGGGCGGCGGAGGCATGGGCGGCGGAGGCATGGGCGGCGGAGGCATGGGCGGCGGAGGCATGGGCGGCGGAGGCATGGGCGGCGGAGGCATGGGCGGCGGAGGCATGGGCGGCGGAGGCATGGGCGGCGGAGGCATGGGCGGCGGAGGCATGGGCGGTGGTGCTGCTGGCGGGGGAATGGGAGGGCCTGGGGGATTGACTGGCGGAGGAGGCATGGGGGGAGGAGGAGGCATGGGCGGTGGTGCTGCTGGTGGTGGCATGGGAGGGTCTGGGGGGATGGGCGGAGGCGGAGGAATGGGCGGTGATGGGGGGATGGGAGGAGGCGGGGGCATGGGAGGGGGCGGAGGAATGGGAGGGGGCGGAGGAATGGGAGGGCCTGGGGGTGGCATGGGCGGAGGAGGAGGGATGAGGGGAGGGGGAGGGATGGGCGGAGGAGGCATGGGGGGAGGAGGAGGCATGGGGGGAGGAGGAGGCATGGGGGGAGGAGGAGGCATGGGGGGAGGAGGAGGCATGGGATGGGGCAGGCCTTAGCGGTTCACAGTGGACAGGCAGGCAGGAAACCAAGTGCCTCAAGCAACTCAGTCTCAGTCAAGGCACAGAGGCGGAGAAAGCTGAGGGAAAAGAAACTAGTGAAGGGAATGACCAAGGGAATGCGAATGGGAGTGATAAGGGAATGTGAAGGGCATGAGCAGGGGAGGGGACTAGCCAGTGAATGGATGAGCTTTGATTCACCTCAAGCCCCATTGCACGTGCTGCTGAGGTGCATCAAAACCCATCCTCCCACTCCATGCTTGTTTGTGATTTCTGGCTTTTTTGTTGTAGCTGGTTCTAGATCGTACTTCTATAGCTGTCTGCTTGTTCTTGAAGTGAGCAATTCATGAGTGTGCTTTTCAACAACGAAATATGCATGCACTTACTGTATAACTACCGTAAGTATACACATGGTTGAATCTCTACCTCCTCCTTGGTGATAATATGGGAAATGCAATACCGTAAGTTGCTCGCATTGCACAGAAACTGTACACGCTTCTACACTGTTCATGAATTCCTATCGTGGGTTTCAGAGCACCATAGTTAGTTACATGTACCACCTGTAACCTCCTGCATGCACTTGTACTTGGGCCACTTGGGTCCTTTATTCCCGCAGGCTCATATTCTTGCAGCGCAGCACTCAGCACTCGGGTCACAGCCAGGCTAACTGCAGGCAGCGCATGAGACTACGTTTGGTGGTGCGGAACCACGAAAATCGCGTGCCTCCTGCGCAGCATTTTATCGGCTGCAGTCACAGACAGGTCACAGCAGGAGTGACCAGCAGCAGCTGCAAGTGCCCACACTGGAGCGAGGAGGGACCGTTTCTAAGGCTTGACATGCCATGCCCAGTATCTTGCATCTAGTATCCCTGTTGCGTATGACTTCCTGCAGTGATCCCTTTTCGCCTTTCTCCCTCACTCGTTTCGAAATCGCACCCTCTCATTACTCCCACATCACTCATTCCCATACCTCTCACTTCCCATATCCCTCACTCCCATATCCCTATCTCTAATACCACTCACTCCCATATCATTATAATTTTTAAACACACATTGTGTTTTTTAAAATTGTGTATTGTGAAAGCGAAGCTGCTTGTACTGCACAATTGGCATCGTCGAAGCGCGCTAAACGCCCTTCTCCAACTACAAAAACCGTGGGTTGGAGTTCATTTCCCTCCACCCACGTTTCTCGATTTTCAAACGGCTCACTCAACACTCCCACCACCCACCCCAGAGTAATCCGCCTTGCTAATGCCACTTGGATAGGGTACATCTTAGCTAGTGTTATTCGATTGCACCAGCTTGTGCTCAACGTTGATGCAAATGTTGTAATAAGCCATTTGTTATGAGAACGATGCCAATTGATAAGAATAAGAAAGCAAGCTTTCTCAATCCTATCTCTAATACCACTCACTCCCATATCACTCATTCCCATGTCCCTCATTCCCATATCCCCCACTCCCATATCCCCCACTCCCATATCCCTCACACCCATATCCATCACTCCTATATCCCTCACACCCATATCCCTCACTCCCTAATCCTTCACTCCCATATCCCTCACTCCCATATCCCTCACACCCATATCCCTCACTCCCATATCCCTCACTCCCATATCCCTCACTCCCATATCCACCACTCCCATATCCCTCATACCCATATCCCTCACTCTCATATCCCTCACTCCCATATCCCTAACTGTCCCACATCCCTCACTGCCGTATTCCTCACTACCATATCCTCCACTCTGCTTCAGCCTAACTGCTCTTGCTTCTGTTTCCTGCCATTCCCTCAGCATTCCCAGCTCCCCGCCTGTGCAGTTCTACTTTCAACGTTTTCTTCAGCCGCTGCTTCAGCCATTTCTTCAGCTGTAAGATCAGGCAGTTGGCCCTGAGGCCCATCAAGGCCAGCATCTCCTGAAGCAGAACCGGCAAAAGTTGTAGCAAGTATAGCTCTACCACGAGCAGCACGAGCAGCACAAGCAGCGATGATGAACAAGTTCAGTGTTAATACCACCTTTCCCAACACCACCACCAGTTCCAGCACCACCACCACCACCACCACCACCACCACCACCACCACCACCACCACCACCACCACCACCACCACCACCACCACCACCACCACCACCACCACCACCACCACCACCACCACCACCACCGCCGCCGCCGCCGCCGCCACCACCACCACCAGCGCCACTGCCACCACCACCACCACCAGCAGTAGCATGCAGGGTCGTCTCTCGTCACCACCAACATCACTAGACGGCCCGTCTCTCGTACGGATATTCCTGAACATGCAACGGAGACATAAGGAGCCGCAACCTTCGCCAACTAGCAGGAGGGGATGGAGCTCTGCCAAGTCTCACCTGTTTAGTGCAGGAGTGGGGGTAATTCAGGGACGGGGGGGCGGAGGATTGGGTGGGGGATGTGGTGGGAGATGGGGAGTGGGAACGGATGGAATGCAGTTTGGTTTGGCTAGGGATACGTGGTTGTGATGATGGGTGGTTGGGGAGTGGGGTGGGGGGGAGAGGGGAGTCGCATGCAAAGCATGGAGGTCGGGGTTTCTTTCAACCGCTACAGCAAGTCAAGCATAGTGTATCTTGCAAGATGCAAATATGCAAGGTGGGTTGTACAATGGTTTGTGATTCCTCTGAAACCAAATGCAGAAGGATTAGCCAAAGCGCCATGATGTCTATGGTTTCATATTCTATGGATCGTCTATGCCTTGTCGCATGCTCTTCATTGTATGAATCATGTGAGGCTTCTCTACGCGGTATCAAAGCTTGCATATGCATTTGTAAATGGGTGGGAAAGTTGAGTTTGTGCTAAACAATTTCATGTGTGCGAACTGAAGTAAAAGCATTTGTATTGAAGTGTCTATAATTTTCTTTTCTCCACTCCTATCATCCGAAGTTGAGCTTGTGAATAACCGGTATTTCTATGGGATTCACTAGACAGGAACTCCGAATGAGTGAACTCACCCAGAGTCAACGAGCCTCCTCCGCAACCTCCAGCCGCCAGTCACCTAGAGCAGGTACCAACAGCATATGGGTTCCAGCATATTCACTGCTACGTAAGTCATTACTGCAAGAGGCACACGACGGAGTTACCTCGAGCCACTTCGGGGCAGAGAAAACACGACCATTCCTGCAACGGTATTACTACTAGCCGGAGCTATTAACGGGCGTACAACACCATGTATAATCATGCCCCACATGCCAAGTGATGAAGTCATTACTGGAACACAATTGGGGCAACAGCAGCCGATACCGCCGCCCGAATGTGCCTGCCCGCAAGTGACCATGGATTTCGTCACAAGGTTACTAGCACGTCCTGCTGGTAACAACGCGGTCCTGGTCGTCGTCGGCCGGTTGACAAAAATGGCCCATTTTGCTGCATGCAAAAAGTTCATCTCAGCCAAATAGACTGCCCGCATGTTCATAGCAGTTGTTGTTTGACTTCACAAGATATCACTAGTAGACATCAGAGATTGCGACATGAAGTTCACAAATAACTTCTTGAAAGATCTCTGAAAGTAGTTCGGCACACGCCTACGATTCAGTTCATCATATCACCTCTAGACCGATGGATAGATATAATAGACCAACCAGACCTGTCAGAAACTAAGGAGCAGGGATGATGCATTGATCAGTTATGTGGTATAAGTGCTAACCCTAATTGGGTTATACCACATATAGGCTACCCCACTACAGCCTATACAACATAAGCAGCATTATAGTTTGACACACCCCCATAGGCAAAGTGGGGGAGAACAAGGGGTCACAAGACCACTCAAAAAAAGCAAACCAAGCTCAGGGTGGATCACGAAGTCACCACTGTCAGTAGATCTGCACTGTGGATGCCCGATTGATCCTACGGGGGGTTACAGGCGCGTTTGCCTGGGGGGTTATCGGCGCACTCTGACCCGCTACTTAACCAGCCCTTCTATCCCAAGGTCTAGTGACTGAGATTCTGACATGGTATCAGAGCGGTCTCGGGTTCGATTCCCGGTGTATGCACATATAGGCCGTTGCCGCTGTGCTTAGTCCTGGGCCTCCCAGTGTGGGGGAATGTCAGTAGATCTGCACTGTGGATGCCCGATTGATCCTGGAGAGGGTTACAGGCGCGTTCGCCTGGGGGGTTATGGGTGCACTAACCCGCTACTGAAACAAGCCCTTTTATCCCAATGGTCTAGTGGTTGGGATTCTGACAACCACACACTCTGAGCACAAGCAAGTGGCCACAAGGCCAGTCCACACGCAGAGTTATATATATGGGAACAAGCAGTACAGTAATTACAACCTAGCAAGTGTAAGCATGTAGGTACAAGTATATAAATCACTGTACATGCAAAGTCACGAAGTGAGAAAGTGAGGCAAAGTAGGCACAAGGCCTAAAACAGTAGGGAAACGCTGATGATCATGAGGCTGAAGTGCCTTGGTGAATATATCAGCAGTGTTGGCCCGAGTGGCCACGTAAGCAAGACGAAGCTGACCACTCTACTGCAACTCTCGAGCAAGGAAGTAACACATAGCGATGTGTTTCGTCTTGTGCTCCACTCTGTGCTCCATACACAAGGCAATCATGGCCTTGTTGTCTATGTACAGAACTGGAGGAGAACTAGGCCGCTCTCCCAAGTCGGTCAATAGGTAGGTGAGCCAGCATAACTTCTGTGTAGCCATGGACACTGCGTAGATCTCAGCCTCACAACTAGAGCTTAGAACAGAAGAGGAGCGGGTAGACCGCCAAGAAACATAACCGGAGCCAAGGCTGAAAGTGTAACCCTGTGACGACCGCTGCGTAGCCAAGTCGTCAACCCAAGACGCGTCTGCGTGCCCAGTGGGAACAATTCGACTCCGTCCTCCAAGCACGAGCTCCATGCCCGACGTACTGCACAAGTAGCGTAACACCCTCTTAGCAGCCTCCATGTGCTCTGGTCGGTATCTCCTGGGCGCAATGTAGTGTGCAAGGATGCTGAGAGGGTAAGCAAGGTCAGGTCGAGTGCAGGTCATCAGGTACATGAGGCAGCCCACAAGCTCTGGGTATGGGCCACTCAGCTCTACGGACTTATCCAAAGGTGGAGCTGAGAGCGAGTGACTAGTAGCCAGAAGAGTGGACTGTCGCAAGGAGTATGTAAAGTTGAAGCGCTGAAGGACCTGGTGTGCCATGTGTGACTGAGTCAGGGTGATGGTGCGCCGTGCTCTGTCCCGGGTGATCTGTAAGCCAAGTTAGCTGAGAAACTCACTCAGATCTGTGCACGTGTGTCTCTTCTGCAGCTCCGACTTCACGTGGGCCAGTCCCTGAGTGTCAGCAAAGGCAAAGACCAAGTCGTTGACGTGCACGAGGATGTAGAACGGCGGGAGCGAAGTGTCGGTGCGCAGAAACAGTGACGGGTCAACACTCAAAGGAGCAAACCCAAGAGCCGCGAGAGTCGTCCTCTGTGTGTCGTGCCACTCACGAGGCGCCTGGCAGAGACCATAGACTGGCCGACGGAGGCTCCACTGGGTACCCGCAGGAAACGACCCAGTGAAGCCAGGTGGGCAGCGCAGCCAGATCTCCTCGTGCAGGCTGCCATGTAAGAAAAGTGTGCTGAAGTCAAGAGAGTGAAGCTCGTAGTCACGCTGAGCGGCGACGTGCAGCAGCACTTGAAGAGTGGTCATCTTCGGGGTAGGGGAGAAGGTCTGGAAGAAGTCAACTCCCTGTCGCTGACTGAAGCCTCGTGCAACGTAACAAGCCTTGAAGATAGGCGGAAAACCTGGCAGCCACTTCACCCTGAAATCCACATGCCATCGACTATGTTCGCCCTAGGAGGGGGAACTGCGTCGACGTAAGTGCCTGTGGACTTCCATGATGCCATCTCTGCGTCCATGGCTGTCTGCCATTGAGAGGAGTAGGGACCCGTAATCGCTTCTGCATAAGAGCGCGGGGTCGGAATGTCTGGAGCATCAAGGTCTCCCTCAGGTGCAAGCAGCATAGACACGAGATGAAGTACAGCAGCTTTAAGACACTCAAAGTCCCCCTGCTTGTCCTCAAGGACGTATGTGCCAAGAGCACACTCACCCCCGACGAACGGAGGATAGACAGACTCAGACTCAGCAACAAGACTAGCAGCGTAGTTGAGACGAGAAGCAGCAGCAAAATCAACAAGCTCAGCGACGAAGGCAGACGCAGTAGTGGACTCAAATGAAGGGTCAGTGACAACAGTGGCTAGGAGACGCGTGACACTAGGATTGGCAGCACGAACTAAGTTAGACTCAGGGTCTGGACCGTCAGGAAGAGAGGACGCAGGAGGAGATGGCAGGGGAACTCACAGTGGAACAGAGGGAGGACGAAGTGTCATACTGTGAGTGCCGGGGACAGGAGGAGGACGCAGACGCGGAGCACAACGACCAGTGCGAATAGCGCAAACAGGCGAGGCAGGGCGAGACGCATGCTCACGACACTCTGTAAGAGAGTGTGTCCGCTAAGTGCAAGTAGAAAGAGCAGGTAGTGGGGAGTCTAGCTGTAGCTGTGGCTATGACTGGTCAGGCGGTGGACACAGCAAGGGAGGAGTAAGGCCAGTAGAAGACGGGAAACTAAGAACCTGGCGAAGCACCGAGCGAGGTGGCGTTAGAGACGACGGCGACGGCGGAACGAAAAACAGTCGCCGCTGCACAGTGCCTCCAACACCAATACCGACAGCTTCACCACCCCCAGCTTCAGCACCTCCAGCTCCAGCGCCTCCAGCTCCACTGACTCCAGCTCTAGCACCTCCAGCACCTCTAGCACCAGCAACACCACCAGCTCCAGTAGCTCCAGTACCTCCAGCACCAGCAGTACCACCAGCTCCGGCAGCTCTAGTGCCTCCAGCACAAGCACCTCCAGGACCAGCAGCTCCAGCACCTACACTACCTCCTTCACGAGCACCTCCGAGACCAACAGCTCCAGCACCTCCAGTACCTCCAGTAGTAGCAGCACCACCAGCTCCGGCAGCTCCAGTGCCTCCAATACGAGCACCTCCGGGACCAGCAGCTCCAGCACCTCCAACAGCAGCACCACCACCACCAGCTCCAGCAGCTCCAGTACGAGCACCTCCGGGATCAGAAGCTCCAGCACCTCGAGCAGCAGCAGCAACACCACCAGCTCCAGCAGCTCCAGAAACTCCACTACCTCCAGCACCTCCAGCACTAGCAGCACCACCAGCTCTGGCAGCTCCAGCGCCACCAGCACGAGCACCCCTGGGACCAGCAGTGCCAACACCACCAGCACCTCCAGCACCAGCAGCACCAGTGCCTCCAGCGCCAGCGCCTCCAGCGGCACGGCCTCCAGC